GCCCACTCGTTGGGCGCGAGGGTCGGTCCCCAGCCCCCAGCGCATGGGAGCCAGACTTCGAGGGAAAGCCGAACCCTGGCGCTTCTCTCTGCGCCTTCCTGCCCTTCCTCCAAGTTTGGCATGAAAGGTGCCTCCTGGTACTGAGAGGGGCCGACCCTCGCGCCCACAGAGCTTCCAGGTGACCCTCATTTGTGCTTCCACCCGGACATCCTCGAGGGTCTCCTCTTGGTAGACCAACGTCACACTCTGTTCGGGCCCTGGGACTGCGCGCTGGCCCCACGTGGCACAGGCATGGAACACTGTTGCCCCCACAGAAAGCTGTGTGTGCCAGGCCGCTGCACGGTGGCCTGCAGCCACCCCAGCCACACCTGGCGCCCTTTTCTTCCTCACCTGCCCACTCCGGGTCCTCTGAGCGGTTCTGGCTCGCTTTTCCTACCAGCCTCTCCCTGCATTGTTTCCTGTCTCAGCTTCAGGCTCCTTTCCCTTCTAGCGTTTCATGTCCTGTCTCTGTTGCTTGTTGCTTCTGTTCTGCTTTATTTTTAGTCCCTGTGAAGCAGATTTGGGGTTGTTCCTTGCTGCACCCCAGCGTGGACAAAGTATGAGGGTGAAGGATACAGATGAAGTTTGTTACTGGAGTGTTTTGTCCTATTTTAACAGTGCTTTCCCGTGGTACAGCCTCACAGATTGTAGGTCCTTGGTAGGAATCTGGTGGGGCAAATGCCTGCCACGTCCAGCACAGGTCAGGAGGTAAGTTGTGATTGCAAATGGCTGTGGGAGATTGGCAAATCCCAGAAGGCTTCCTGGAGGAGGTGGAGCTTTAGTCAGACGAACACATCTCTCTTCCTCTGTTGGCCTGGCTGCCCTGACTGTGTCCAGGCAACTCAGCTGCGCGCTTGCTCCTCTGCAGGCCCTGAGGTGGGTGCCTAGGCGCAGGATCTCAGGGCTTTGTGGGTGGGCAGGGATCCATAAGTCCTTCCCTGGCTCTCCTGCAGGGTGAAGGTCAGGGTCTGGCTCCTGCCCGTCACTCCAGCCACATCTTCTATGATTTGTTTCATGCGCCCCAACAGCACAGAAGTCCTTTTTCCTGCACCTCCCACGTGTTTCCTCACCAGTATGAGCATGACGATGCCAGGTCCTCTGCTTGTAATGCCCTTGTACTCCCAAGTCTCTTTGGAAGCCTTCCTGTCTCCCGCCTCCCCTGGGGTAGGTTCACCCACATTTATGCCCATGGCCCACAGCACTGTGTGCTTACCTTGCCTTTCTGCGCTATGTGACATGATCTGTGTCTGTCTCCCACCACGACTGGGAGCCCCTGGGGTGTAGGGACCTCTGTCTTGGTCACCCTTGTATCTTGTGCACCTGGTCCAGTGTATGGAGCCTGTGGGCACGCAGCAGATTTTGATAAGTGAGTAGACTACATATGAGCCAGGGAGGAGGATGTGGGGAGACATGCCCTTGTGGCAAGGGGTTTGCTCACAATGTGGACAGCTTGACACAGGGAGATGGGACTTATCTTCCAGCTGGGGAGAAAAGACTCAAATTGTGAGCAGGGGTCTGCTGGGCCATTAATGACAAGGACCGACCAGGTACATGCTGTGGGGTCCCGAAGAAGGCCTTCCCAGGATGTGGGATCTGAGCCCAATAGCAAGGCAAAGTTTGGTCTGTCAGAAAGGGTGTTCTGGGGGTGATGACACTGATCAGACTTGCCATGCTCATGCAGCTCCCTGGGTGCTGGGCTCTGTCCCAGATGATTAGATTAGGCTTAGTGACTCGGGTCACCCTCAGAGTGAGCCCAGGAGGAGGGTCTGCTATTACCCCATATCACAGCTGAAGAAACTGAGGCACAGAAAAGAGCTTGCCAGAGTCCCCTGACTGCGGAGTTCTAAGATGCCATCCACTCCACTCTTAATGTGTGGATTGCATCCCAGGTGGTTGGACATGTGCTGCTCTGGCTGGTGTTGGGTGCCTGACGAGGTGGCCAGGGCTTGGGCTGTCTTGTTTTTCTTCCTGTGCACAGGCCTGTTGGGGCCGCAGGATTTGTTTTGGCTGTGCTGTCTGCTACCAGTGGGATTTCCCTGTGAGGCTCAGTCGGCTGTAATTCATTATGTTCTTTAAAGTGTGCTTCATGCAACGTCAGTAATGACAGCCTTGCTGGCGCTCTGAAGGCAGCCCTCCTCTTGGATTCGTCTGTTTTCCACCAGACCGCCCAGCACTGCCTGACTCCTGAGTGTCTGGTGGGCCCGTGAATGGAGGGTGATGGGGAAGACTAAAGGGAAGAGAGGACGAGCAGAGCTGAAGAATGAGTGGGCCTGTCCTGACTCCCCTGGGGACGCTACCTCCAGTTGTTCAGTGTTAATTCTTGCAGGTGTTTAGGCACTCTGCCTGGAGTGTCCCTGTCCCGCTGTCCTGCTTTGTGTGCTGAGGCTGGCCTGGGACTAGTAATGCACTAGTCCCATTTTTAGGCAAGGAATTGGGGCTCAGTGAAGGCTCCTCCTGTGTCCTGAGCTGGGGTTCCCGGGCAGTGCCACAGACACCCATGCCCCCGTCTGCCTCCCTACCTGCTCGGGAGCCACATTTCTGAATGTGGGGGGCCTGAATCAGTAGGCACCCAGTGCCTGCTTGTTGAAGTGAGAGGGACTGTGACAGTGCTGACTTGAATTCGTGTTCTTACTCTGTCACGCTTCCTGTTAGCCCTGCCCATGTTTTGGCCCAAGTCCTGGTGGACAAGACTGGACCGACCAACAGGCAAGCCAGATGCCTTGCAGGTGCCCGAGCTGCAGAGCTGCTGGTGATGGTGACATCTCCTGGGGGGCTGGGGCTGGGTCAGAGTGTCCTCCCTGTCTGCTGTCCTCAGAAGTCTGTCACAGCTGTTCTACCTGGCCTTATCCCAGCTATGGGATGGTCCCTATCAGGCCGAGTCTTGCTGGGGCCGGGACAGGTGTGAAGTGGATGAAGGCGTACCATACCGGATGGAGCCCTTCCCTGCTTTAGGTGCATCCTGGGCTTGGTTAGGTTCTGTTGGGACTTGAGCCATCTTGGTGGGCTGTAGGTAGGTGCCATTGCAGGCAAGCAGGGTGGCCTGCTGGGGCGGGTGCCTGTCCTTAACAGGGTCATTGGCAGGGCCCAGCCATGGCCTTTGTGATCAGGCTACCCTCCGAGATGTGGATGTTCCGTGAGAACTTCCTGAGGTCAGCCCTTGCCCAGAGGATCAGGGTGCTTGTTGAGCAGGGTGGAGCTGCCCCGTAGGCTTTCCTGGTCCCAACAGGGACACAGCTGTGCCTGTGCCAGAGGCGGTCACAGCGAGCAGCCAGTGAGAGGTGTGGAGAGGGGCCCCCACTGTGTGTGTGGCTGAGGTTGGGTCCAGAGGCCTGAGTGGATGTCAGGAAGGGTCCTGGATGCTGGTGAGGCCTGAACTGAGTCTTGAAAACTGAGCATTAGCCTGGGAGGATGGGAAGAAGGCCACTCTGGGTAGCAGGAGACCAGAGGAGGGCACAGGGTACCGGGCTCCCCGCAGGACTGTCTGACTGGGCCAGGCTGCGAGGGCCTTGGGAGGTAGGTGAGGCCTGGACTTTGGTCCTGAGCAGGGAAGGGCCAGCATGAGCGGTGCTGAGGGTCCCTTGAAGAGGGCTAGAGACAGGGCTGCAGAAGCTGGGACCAAGTGTCTGGGTGGGATGGCACCCAGGGCCAGTGGCTAGAGGCTGCCTTTGGCCTTGAGAGGCATGCCGCCTCCCCTACCCCCTAGCCTGCAGGGTCCAGGCCTGTCAGCCCTATGGCTCAGTATCGGGTGGCTGGGTCTGTGTTGGTGGCAGCAGTGCTGCAGACCCCTCCATGGACAACTGGGTCTTTCTGGGGATTGGGGCTGCTCATCACCTAGATGCCCTGGGCTTCCACCTCTGGGAGAGAGCAGCTGTCCCAGTGGGGGACATGGGAGAGCAGAGCCAGGCAGTCATGCTGACCCTGGGAGCCCATCCCTGAGCTCCAGCCCCATAAGCCTTTCTTGTTTTCTTTAACTGGATCGATGGAAGACTGTCTTGTTTTGTGCCTCTGATTTCTCCTGAGAGAAGGATGGGGCCCTGGCCCGCACTGTGTTAGTGCCCTGGTACAGAAAGAGTGAGCTCCCCTGACACAGCATTGCAGCATCTTAGCCATAGGATCCTGACCGATTTCCCTCATCAGCCCTGACCTTTCTGATCCTGCCATCCTAGAGGTGGCATCAGCGCCAGTGCAGAGACATGGACACTGTGGTTCAGGGCCTTTTGGAGACATTGCTCTTGGGGTGTGGGAGGACTGCCCAGGGCACAGCTGCCCCTCTGCTGAGTGACCCTTTTGGCTGCCTCACCACTGCCTCCACTCCCACTTGCTCTGCCTGGGTGGTGAGGCATGGCCTGCTTCTGAGGTGGGTTAGCAGGAATGTAGGAGAACTGACCATCATCACCATCTGTACTATTACCATGATAGTCACCACTGTTTATTGACATCGGATATCTGCCAGGCACCTGCCAGTTTCTGTATATTCCTCAGGTGAGGGATGTGTAACTTAATAGCGTCCTGGACCCATAGGGACCTGGCAGGATTTGAACCCAGCACTTCAGCTCTGGCACTCCTGCTCCCTGGAGGACCAGCTTGGAAGAGCTTGCACAGCAGAAGATGCCTGTGAGTTAGAGGATGTCATTATGCTAATAAAGATTTAACTCAGGACCTTTCTCCCTTACTGGGCCGACCTCATAGAGAGCTGGGCCAAGGCTGAAGGTTTAAGGAGTCCAGATTTGGAAGTGTAATGTTTCTTACAGAGAGGGTAGGGTTGGCCCTGGCTGAGCTCGGAATTCCTGTCCCTGTAAGGCTGGGTGACAGGTGGGTAGAACATGCTCACCTTTGGGCTGTGGCTGGCTCCCTCTGACCTGTGAAAAGGTGTCTGGTCATCAAGTCAAGCATTTTGGGGGTTTTGGGGCTAGATGCCATGCTCAGATATTCATCTGTCCGTGTCTCTCTGTCCTCCTGTCTCCCAAGCCAGACCCTGGGTATGGTCTGAGGGGTGCAGACTGAGCTTACACTGGCTAGGAAGCTGAACATTGGGGGTGTGGGGTGGTGAATGAGGGGTAGGATGTCGTCTGGGGAAGATAGGGGCATCAAAGCTCTGTTCAGGGGACTGGTGCTGGCCAGAGGTGGCCAGAAGGAGGCGGGGTGCAACCCCACACCCTGTGCCTCAGCCACCTTTGGCTGCCCTCCAATGGGATCTATAATCCGTTCTAGCCAAGTGTTTGGCAAGGGAGTCAGAATCCATCTTTCCCTTAACAGCACAGCAGCCTCTTCCTGGCTTGGCTGCTAATAAGGAGCTGGGCACATCACTCTAGGGGGGCTCCTTCCTCACCCTCCCATTGCCCCTAGCCAGGGCGCTAATGAACTTAAGGGCTTTGAGGGTGGGCATGGGGAGGAGGGGTCTGCTGCTGCCTGGTGCGGGGTCCGGATGGCCTTCAGTTGCTGGGATGGATGCTCTGGCCCCTTTTCTTACCCTTCATGGCCCGGCTCCTTGCTAAGAGGTAGCTCCGGGGTCCCTCCTGCTGACCCTGGAGCTCAGGGCGCTGCCTCCCTCACTTGGCATTTGCAGCTACTTGAGATTCACGCTGATTGTTTTTCCAGCCTCTGGTTGACCTGCTGGTCCTGTCTCTGTTGCCTGAGCCAGCCCTTGGGTGTCAGCTCTCTGCCTTTGGCCTGGAATGGCCGGGTGTCAGCCCCACCTGGCCAGGGCTGCCCTGAGGAAGCCTGCTGTGCATACAGGGCCTGGCACCTGGGCCTGCCTCTCCTGTTTGCTCGAGTCCTTCGGCTGTCAGGGCACTGGGAGGACTGCAGACTCATGCAGTCTTGTGGCAGGTTCCTCATCGCCTTGTGGTCATTTGTCTGTGTAAGGCTCCCATGTGTCTTTTCTGTCCCTATGGGCCCAGGACAGGAAGAGCATACAATAGGTGCTCCATAAACACTCGTGCAAGCTCAAGCTTACAATTGGAAAGAACTGTTGCTCAGCCAGCAGCACTGTCCGCTGGGCTTCTGAGGTGCTGGGGCCACCTCCAAATCCCCAGGTGGCCGGCAGAGGTTAGGGGCACCGAAGGCATTGGGTAACCGGCCCCGAGCAGGTACTTCACAAATGTGGCACCCACTGCTCAGAGCGGAAGGGAGACAGTTGCTCAGAGAGGCCGGCGGCATGCCTTGGGACTCTGCTGCCAGGATGGGGAGCCTCCCAGGGCCTGCAGCTCACTGCTTCAGGGTACAGGTTAGAGAGCCGACTGGACAGGCTTTTGGCAGGTGGGGGCATGTGGGGAGTGCTGCAGGGACCCTGGGGAGCATTGCCACATGGCCACTGATCAGAGCAGGGAAGGGGGGTCATTGCCTTTTGGAGCACTGGGGGTGCCTGTGTTGCCCCAAGAACTCAAAGCGAGCCCAGAGCGGGGCCGGGAGCAGAGCCGTGAGTCTCACGTAGAACCCAGGCTCTGTCTCTCCCACGCTGCCACCACACTGTGGACCCTGGATTGGGGAGAGCTACTAAACCAGTGGACTTGAGGTGGTTCCTGGGAACGGGGGCTCTAGTCCCCCACCCCCTCCACCAGGTGTTGCACCCTTCCTCCCCCACCGCAGCTCTAGTTTCGTCTGTGTACCTGAGCCTTCTGAGTGCCGTTGTGTTTGAGGAAGGGATTCTGTAGCTAGGAACAGCCCTAAAATTGGCTCAGCCCTCACTTTACACGTGGGGACCCAGAGGCCAGAGCGGCTTGCTTCTGGTGGGTGCTGCCTTGGCCTGCCTCGTTTGGTCTGATAGTACAACAGGGCAGAGCGCCTGCCACCTCTTGGGCCTCTGCCCACCTGCAGGAGGGGTTTGGAGGCCAGTGGAAGGGAGCGCCCAATGGGCAGCATGCGGGTTGCTGTCTTACGGGGCAGGCGTGAAGTCAGGCAGCCAGATGGGAGCACCGCTGTGATCGGAGGGCTGAGGTCCTAATGGTGTAGGCCCACCACGTACAGGTTAACCAGCTGCACCCCACCACATGCAGATCAGCCAGATGCAAATGTATACTTTTGTTTTAACTTTTTCTTTCACAAGTCAGGTTATAACACATTTCTGCACCTTGGTGTTTATTTCTCCCTACTAAAACCAAAACACCCTGGAGATCTTTCCACATCAGCATAGAGAGCTGCTCTTTTTCTTTTGATAGTTACAGGATATTTCAAGTGTGGATATTGCAGAATCAGTTTTGTCCTTTGTTGGTGGAAATTTAGGTTATTTTGCATGTTTGCCAATTATGGGATGAATAACCTTGTTGGTATGTCATTTGGTGCATTTAAGTAGGGTAAGTGCTCCCTAGGGCAAGGCTGGGTCAGAAGAGACACGCTTTCCTGATTATGACGCACATGCCAACTGCCCTTGAGGGGACACACCAGTCACGCACCGTGGGAGGTGTGAGCGCCAGCCCCAGCCATCCCCACACGGGGTGTGGTCAAGCTTCAGACCGGGACACACTTGCCTCTCCTTTGCCATGAATGAGTTTGGTGTTGTTAATATATCGGAGAGCCGTTTTGCATTTCCTTCTCTTTGTGCTTTCTGCTCCTCTGTTCATTTTTAAAACCTGCATTCCTGATCTTTCTCCTGTGGATTATGCAAATCAGCTCTTTAGTGCCAGATGAATTCAGATCATGGGCCCCTCACTTTGTTCCTGTCCTGTTCTGCCATGTAGCAGATTTACGGAGTCCAGTTTGTCGGTGCATATATTGTGGTTTCTGGATTTTGAGTCATAGCAAGAGCTTCTTTTCTTCGAGTTTAAAAAGAAATCTAGTATTTTCGTGAAGTTTTTGCTGTTTCACTTTTAAAGTTTTGATCCATTTGTCTTTTATCCTGGCATGTGCATGTGAGGTACGGGTCTACTTTAATATTTTCCAGATGTCCAGAGGTCCTGTGTGCTCTCCTCCAGTGTTTTTGGGGTCTCATTTAGTCATGCCTTAAATTCCCATTTGTATTTAGATTTTTAAAACATGCATTTTATTGCGATGAAAACACTTAGCGTGAGATCTCTCTCTTATCACGTTGTAAGTGTACAATGCAGCACCATGGACCGTAGGTGCCCCATTGAACAGCAGGTCTTTAGAATTTATTCATCACGTGTGTGGGGTTCTCCTGAGTGTCCCCTACCGAGCTCCCCACGCGAGCTCCCCGTCAGCTTGTCAGCACTACGAAAATGCTGGTTGCCTTTCATTGGGGCAGGAGACGGACACCTTTGTGAAACAGGGTCCCCTGTCCAGAGCAGGGATGTCATTCTATTGATCACTCCACCTCTGTCTTCCTGGGGGTTTTTAAAGTGTCTTAGAAGTTTCCGCCATTTCCTGTTAAACTTATTCCAAAGTCTGTCATCTTCTTTAGCCTCCTTTAATCTTTAGGGACAGCTCAGCAGTCTTTTTCTGCTTCCCGATGCTGACGTCTGTAGTAGACTGTCCCGTGCGGGTGTTTCTGATGTTTCTCACGGGCACACGTTTTGCAGGAGCGTCACAGCTGCGCATCGTGTTCTCCGTCCGCTGCTTCGGGAGGCGTGATGTTGGCTTGTCCATCGCTGATGCTGCTGACTCAGGTCTATCGGTTAAGGTAATGTCTGCCAAGTTTCTCCTCTGCAAAGTTACTATTTTTCCATTTTTAATGAATAAGTATCTTGGGGAAGATACTTTGAGGCTGTGAATATCCTGCTACTCACAGATTCACCCACTACCGCCAACGCCATTGGACGTTCTTGCCTGAATCGGTTACTGTTGTGATGATTGCTGACTCCATCCTTCCTCCCACAGTGATCAGTTTCTGCTCTGAGGAAGGAATTTCCCCCTTTTCCCTTATTTATTCATGTATAACACTGTGGACTCATGGATTTTTATTTTGTTCGATGGGTTGTAATTCTTTGTTACTGTTACGTGTTATCATGTTCAAATTGTCCCAGATTTGGCCAGTGGAAGCCTCTTCCAGCTGGTCCCTGTGTGCGTCTGAGATACATCCCTTCCCTTGAGCACTTCCTTACTCTTTTACATAAAAAGATGTTTTAGGTTTACCTTTTACATTCTCTGACCCCCACCCTGGAATCAGCTGTTACTCCAAGCAATTGTAATTCTTTTGAGTGAAGAATGCTGGTTTGTAACCCAAATCTGTGTGCTGGGGGTGCCCACTGCTGTGGCGTGTCGTAGTGTCTCAGTGGACAAAGCTAGCAGGTAGTGAATGTCACCCACGTGCACAGCTGTGTGAGCGAGTGTGCTTGTATGTGGTCAGGTCTGACCGTGTGTAGTTCTGTCTGCCCCTGTCGGTAGGTGATGAAACAGAACTCACACTGATGCCTCCAGGCTCTAATGAGGGGTGCCACCTGGGGAAGGAGGAGGGGAAGGGGTAGGGTGATACGGGAGTGAGGAACATGTGCTCCTGGTCCAGTGGGGAGGACCAGAGTGAGGCAGACCTGAGGCTGTAGTGCCTGGTGCAGAGTGTTGGGGAAGGAGGCCAGGAGGAAGGGACTGCAGCCAAGGGCGGGTCAGCTGCTGCCCTAGGTCTGGTCTGTCTCTCTAACTTTGGTTCAGTCAGTTTCCATTTCTGAATTTCCTTTTAAAAACTGGGGTTTGAGCTGGATAAGGGAATACCTGGCACTGGTGTGTCTGCCCACATGCCCCCCCCCCCC